TCCATTAACACAACCGTTACGTATTTTAACATCAAGAAGGAAAACAGAAATTTATAAAGATGCCTTTTTGAGGCACCAAACAGAGATTTTCAGTTTTAAAATTAGCTTTCTTAGGGTTTCACTCTTTCAAAAATAAGTCAGAGACAAAAAAATACCTTCGAAAAACTTCTTGTCCTTTGCCTGCAAATTTCATCAAACAGATTAAGTTCAAAATTATAATAAACTAAATCAGACTGGGGTTTGGAGAAGACAGAATAGTGATATGCTGAATAATAAACAAGATTAATTTTCTACAGACACCTAGCAGGGCTGGGAGCATCGCATGCACTTCCACCGTGCGACAGCCCCATCCTCCCCTGGCCTCCCACCTCAGTCATTCCAGTCCCAGGCTTCCTCCTCAGCATCACGACCCGAGCAAGACTCCCTTGTTATACAGTCAGCCCCAATTTCCCTCTAGTTTTAATTTCTTTCTCTTCTGCCCTTGATGACTAAAAAAATCTCCCCAAGACCCTTATCAATCTTGGTCTTGCTCCATTCACTCTATTCTTTCGGGTTTGGGCTCCCAGCCCGAGTCTCAGCTGGTCTTGCACCTTCTCACCCACCTCCAAGCTCAATATTTACTTACCCATCCCCAAGTGCACCTGTCTATGTTCCCCCCAGCCAGCTTTGCTTCCAAATATGCAGTCTGGTTTTGGAGCCCCTGTATTTGAGTCAGACTGCAAACCCGTTTACATTGCCACGTTATTAACGTGGAGATCACCGACAGCATGCAGGGCAATTAAAGAAAACAAAACCAAACAACACAACATAACACAACAGGGGAGATGGGACAAGGAGAGGTGGGTCAACAGAGTTTTTCAGTACGAGCAAAACAACACATGTTTTCCCTCACCCATACTCCAAAATAGCTGAATCATTTTGTTTTTCCGAACAATGCTGCCTGAGATACCAGGCATGGAAAATTTCATTTCAAATGATTCAAACCTGGCAAAAATATGAGCAATTGAAAGGAGATGTACAGCCAACACACTGGAAGGAACAATTCTACCTGCAGTGGACCTGGAAGATTGCTGTTCCACCTGCCATCTCCGTTAACATAAGCGCATTAATAACCCACGCTGATCTGGGATAGCAATGGTCAATCATAACATTTATCTGAGAAAGAAATCGTTCTCAGGTACAACTCTGCATTTAAAAGGTGTCACTAAATGACACCTCAGAACGGTTCTTCTGTACATTTGAACACATATGCTTCAAAAACACTGACTAATTATTAGCTCTAAACTCGCAAGTGCTTTATAGCCCACATGAAAACACGAATTATTCATATGGAGATGCTGCTCACTAGAAGAAAAAGGAAGAATATGATAAACAAGGTGTACATTCATTTTAACTTACGCAACAGAATTTCAACAGCTTGTAAACACTGCAAAACTCTGGTATTTCTGAGTTACTGGATTAGTATTTGCCAGATAGGTAGGAATTTTTTTTTCTACATTAATCTAGGTGCACATAAAATGAGTGGGGAAACTAAGTAGCTATAGACATTGATGGATATCATGGCTTTTCTGAAAGAATATTTTGGGAGGTTTTACTAATAAAATAGAAACTGTAACATCAAAAAAAACCCCCCAAAACCTAAAGCCACCAGAAACTTTAAAGCTCATCTATAACTGGAACAGAAGTTACAGTTCAGCGTTTTGTAAGCCAGTATATGAGAACTGTAAATTGATGTACCGTACATCTTGGTGGCAAACATCATATTTCAGCAAGCTCTATCATAAGGTATGAATGGTTACGGAGGCATCAGCAGTACTTACAGCACCCATGGTTGAGGGCACGTCCAAGTTTAGTGCTATGAATGAAAGCACAGAACTGCTCTGATTTTAGTTACTTCAAAAGAAAAATGGCCAAACATGCTGTATATGACAGTGTATCATCAGCTAGCACTTCCAGCTCTGTAAAGCCGATGGGTTTTTTTCCATCTGTTAGCACAGAATAATTAGTGTATCAGGTACTTAGATTACCCAGCCAAGACGGGATGGATATGTGATTAATAAACAGAATTGGCACTGTAGTATAATGATGTGGCACAGGTTCCATCTTAACTCCAATTCCTAGTCAGCCTTAGAAGGTAGCTAATATAAGCTTAGCTGCTTGACTGGGAAATACAAGCAAGCTTTTTCATGGCCTCGCCACCTGGCGATGCTATTCCAACACTAACTCCACTAGACACTGAAAAAGCAGAAAGGACAACCAGATCCTCGGCCGAGACACGTTCACAGTGCAGGACACCTGAATTAAGAGGCACAGAGTTCAGCCCAGACTAGTTTTCCTTCTCTACGACCCAGTAAACCTGTGCTTGTTTCAATAAGCACTGAGATTTGCTAAGAAGTGAACATATGCACTTTTTTTTTTGTTTTTGGTGGTGGTAAAATTACCCTACACTCATTGGGCACTAACACTAGATACAAACTCTGCTGCTCACTTTCATCAAAACAAAGCAAGCTTTGGGCAGGCCTTGAAAGCAATACAAAAATTTCTCCATTATTGGATACCTCTGTTCTACAGAATAGCACAGTTTTCATATCATCAATTTTCTAAGCAGCAATTCAAAAGAATCATCCTTTTAGATTTCTGAGAAAAGAACATAATGGAGGTTACTCAAAGGAATAGATGCTGCAGCTAGAACCATTCTCATTATGTACATATGAGATGCTTCGATGTTCCTTGCTACTGATTACATGAGTAAACATTTTTAGTATGCAAAATCCTATTAACTCAAGGGGATTCTGCATAATTTTATAACAGCTCCACTTGTGTCTGATCAACTGGGTCAGCAACAGACAGATGGCAAAGAATTAATTCTAATGCTGCTTTATTGCAGTGCTGGCATCAGGGTTTTCTCTACTCACTGCTTTTGGAAAAACTAGAACTTTTCCTACATTCCCTACACCTAAAAGTAACACACCATGGAGTGAAAAGATGGGAAGGTAATTTCCTGGTCTTTAAGTATGTGGATCTAGAAAGGATAAAACTAAGCCAATCTAATTGTCAGTCCTTCTGTCCCTACTAGGGGGAGAGCAACCAGGCAAAAGCCCAAGCATCAGGAGTGTTAACATATAATAGATGATAACAAACAGGATTTTATTCCATAGGGACAGAAGAGCGTTCACTGGTCAGTAAACGCACACACTACACCCTTCTCTTGAAATTATTTCTTCTGTCTCCTGTGCTCACTTGATTTTATTGAGTTTTGGCGAGTCGTCCTTCTCTTCTTGAAGCCCTACAGCTATCAGCACTAGTTTGTACAAATATTTTCTTTTCTGCCTTTTTCCCCTGTATTTTTCTGTTGTAAGAGGAAGAACAAGAACGTTGCAGAAGTCAGCACAAAGAGGAAAACAAATGGAAACTATTCTACTTGCCATTTACCCTCCCCACATAAAATCCTAAAACAAGAAGAAAAGTTAATCTCAAAGACATAAAGTAATAAAATAATCTCATCTCTCAAAGTAAAGAGATGACACTGGAAGCCATCCCTCCAATAATTAGGGTTTTCTCTTATTCCATTTTTTAATCACTCCATAATTCTAAGGTGCAGGGATAAGTATTATCTAGGATTTAGTGAACTTGTGCTTAGCACGTATTTAGATGGCAAACTATTAGCAGCCCAAAAATGGTGCCTAAAATTGAATTATTAATGCACTGTTTCCCCAATTTTGGGAAAATGGTCCCAAAAGTAAACAATGATCAGACTGTGATTTGCAGGCAGAACTCTTAAGCTCTTGAGATATGCAATTTACATCCAGAAAGACTTGAAAATATGGAGATAATTAACTGATACAGAAATATTTGGCTGAGTTTCTTTTTTGAAAAACCCTGAAACTCAGAGGTGTTATGTACATGTAAATTTTGAGAAGCCAACTCAGAGACCCGCACGGACATAATAATCCAACTATTTCAAAGCACGAGAGAAAAGGCAGTCTTCCTTGAATTCTTTGCCAGCATTATCCAAAGTGGGTTGAGGATATAAACGGGAAAGATACAACAAGCAAAGGTAAATCAGGATTTCTTTTAGATTTCTTTTAGACTACTTGGTTTTGGGAAATAGCCACCTCATGTTTCACAACAGAACAGTTCCTTTTTACGGTGCTGTGCCACCATTCTTCCACAAGCACTATTTTCTGTAACACAAAAAAAATTTGTCCTCTTCCTTAAAACATTACAGCTTTCATCCCCATTTCTCACATGTCAGTTTGCATTATGAATATTTCTCTGAAATCCAGGCTAATTAAGACTGCTTCAGAAATAAGGGCTTAAGGTTGTCAGGCATACCTGACAACCCTTTGGACAAACAATTTCCTTCCATTTGGATTTTTAATTAAGCTTTCTGAAAGTACTTTAATATAAAAAAATGGTGAAAAAAACATCTACTCAATTTTGACTAATCCAAAGAAAGACTTCATTTTCTTTGGGAGACATAATGACAGCTTCAACTTTTACCACTGACAGAGCATTAAATCAACCCCATCCCTTGAAACTCAGCCCAGCTCTTGGGCCTCACATCCAAGGACGAAAGAGCTTCTCTCTGGCTAAGTCAGCAGGGGCCAAGCAAAGCACAACTGCCTAGTCGTCCCTTGGATCTCTCTTATGTGGGACTGGAGATAAATCACAAAGCAAGGTACAAGTGACCACAGGACACCAATGATTCCATGTTTTGTCATCAACAGCTCATATCACTCTCAAATACAGTGACAGCATCACCAGACCAGCTACGAATGAGTATTTCTCTTAGAAAGTTTTTCTCTTATTCCAAATTATTCCAGGACATCTTCACTTACTGCATTACACAAAAGCCACAGTTTCCAGAATGAAAGTTATCTCACTCTACAGCTGCTTCCAGCCTTGCGCAGTGTAACTTCTCCACAAAACCAAGTTCACATGAGATTTTCTCGAAAATATTTCTGGAGGGCAGGGGGAAGGGGTATTTCTTTTTTTACCTGAAATGGAGACTGGCTGTTGTAATTCTTAATTTCCTTGTTGGCTCCCCGGAACAGCAGCACTCTTGCACAGCTCTCCTGAAAACGATAGAAGAGTCATCTTGTTAGTAAGAGTCTTTAGTTACTAAAGAGACATTGTGGCTATGAGCTGTGTTGCTGTTTGGGATATATTTCCTTTGATAAGAAGTAAACAAAATAAATAAATAATCTGAGAAAATAAGTTATTAAAATAGTACTTTAAATATGACAAGGCTTTTGCAGTGTGTTAGAGTAGAAACAATATGCAAGTGTAAAACATGTAGAGGAACGGGAGAGGTGAACATCTCATTAAATTTTTAAGAAGCTGTACTGTGGAAACTCTATACTTGACAAATCAGGTTTTTCAGAAAATATGTTAGGTCAAACCAAAATTTGACTGTCATGGGTTTTGCTCATTTTGTAGGGAAAATGGTGCTTTTCAAAATAAACAGTGCCTGGGATGAACGACATCCTCCCCCCTACAGCTAAAATTAAACAAAACCGTTTTACCACTTTCATGCATTTATTTTGTGTTTTTCAACCTATCTTGAATGTTAAACATTTAATGTAGGATTATTTTTTTAGTATTTTAATATACCTGAAATTATTTGGTCTGGCTATGCACACTGCACTGACCAGTCTTACCTTCTCTTTTTTCCCCCCTAAAGAACACAAACAGTTACGTCCCTTCTAACAAGAGAAAAGTATGGCTTCATGCCCCCTAAACGGAGAAAATCCACAAATGAAATCCCTTAAAAACAATTTTTTGGACCAATACAGTGTATTGCTTAAGTTGCCACTCTACACTGCTGTAAAATGCAACTGGCCATAACCTGCTAGAAGTCCGCTACAGTTCTGGCACAGTTCTCAGAATACTAGACTTTTCGATGATCCACATATAGGCCATATTTCCTACCTATCATCCTGAATATTCATCTCAGGACCTTATGCAAAGCGGTTCACCTTTCAGAATGTTTTTATGTTTCCTCATCATAAATATTTCTATTAATTTTGTTGTGCTTTCCATATTTCCTGTCATGTTGTGTTATGGAGTTCTACCTAATGAGGTATTTCAACGTGCTACTTTTCACTTTTAACGGTAAATTTGCAGCCAGAGGAAAACAACCATATAATTTAGCTATTTTAGTGACAGAAATGAAGTTTGTTTACTAGATCCTGAGTCATAAGTGAATGCACAGAAATTATGACTGAAAATAATTTTTGTCTTTGTGGTCATGCCAGATTCTTGATCCCATCTTCTATCACAGGCTTGTCCTAAATATATCTGAGGAGGAGGCTACCCTACCTTTTCCCCAAGATTCAGGACTCCAAAAAGATACCCTTTTGTTCCCACCCATCTTATTCTGTACAACAGACTGAAACAACAGAATAGATCATATCTCAAGACCATATATAAACAATCATCTCACAGATGGTAATTTTTTAATAATATTTAATTAATTGATACAGTCCCATTTGCTTGCACTGAAAGCTGCACATTAGGTGTGTTCTCTCTATCTCTAAACATAAGAAGAGCAAGAACAGCATGGAAAATGTCAAAACATTTTTCTCATTTTTCTGTGTTCTGTATTAGCAGTCATCCAAAAGAAGTAAATGTGCTGCAATTAGATGAAGACCTCCAAGGAAAAAAAAAAAAAAAAAAAAATTCTTATTCTTTTCCAAGAATTCCTTTCTGACTGACTCCTAAACAACTCTAAGTTTGCACACTGTATTATATTCCCATTATAACAACTATTCCACTATTGCACTAGGTACTGCTCAGTAAACATGCTGGAAATGCTAGTAGAACCCTTTAGCATTAAACTGCCCCATTTTGATCATGAACTTGAGAACATAAATAATTATATTAAGAAACATCCTGTATTTATTGTCTAATTATTCTTTTGGTTATCAGAATAAATAATTCAACACTACAAAAGCAAAAGAATTACACATTTACATGCTCTACATGATTAACAGATTTAACTAAGCTGTCTGCAGTGTAAAAAAAACATGCAAAGTGATTATTTATTAAATGGTTTTGATAAGAAAAGTTTTGACAAAAGTGGTCAGAGTTGTTCAACATAAGAATTTTCAAGAAAACTTGTTGTGGATCATAGAATCCCAGAATGGCAAAGGTTGGAGAGGCCCTTTTCCAGCCCTCCTGCTAAAGCAGGGTCACTCAGAGCAGGTTGCACAGGACATCGTCCAGGCGGGGTTTGAATCTCTCCAGAGAAGGAGACTCCACACCCACCCTGGGCAGCCTGTGCCAGTGCTCGGTCACCCTCAAAGTAAAGAAGTTCTTCCTCATATTCAACTGAAACCTCTTATGTTTCAGTTTTTGCCCATTTCCCCTTGTCCTGTCGCTGGGCACCACTGAGAAGAGCCTGGCTCCATCCTCGTAACATCCACCCTTAAGATATTTGTATGTGTTGATGAGATCCCCTCTCAGTCTTCTCTTCTTCAGGCTAAACAAGCCCAGCTCTCTCAGCCTCTGAAGTACTGCATTTGTTTATTTATTCTTTTAAAATGAACAGAAGCATTCTTTGCTTCATCGTCTCTCCCTTTTGTCTCCTCCCCCTCCTTCCAGTATTAAGGGGAACAAACTAGGGAAAACAAGCAAGAAAGTCACCAGCAGAAATTATTTTGATTACTTTTCCTTTGTCAATTCAATGGCAATTCCACATTTTAGAGCTCTCCATTGTGAAGGTGCTGCCTACAAATGACATTAACTCCCTTTTGCACATATTTTAGCTCTGACAACCTAGTAACTTCTGAGAGAGTGCTTAGGATGGTTCACTCATTATATCACACACAAACTGAATATGCAGTAGCTTTTTAGACTTCATAAGATTAAAAAGATTTTCGGAGAAGTGTGGGCTTGTCAGCAGATTAGGTTAAATTTGTAGTCTGAGTGCTAATTACCTGATTTAATACTAAACAGTTTTCATATAGAATCCAATCTGCCGACGGAAAGAAGGCACACTTCAGCCCAGCGCTGTTACTTGCAAAATACAGAGGCAAAAGATCTGTCTAGATTTTATTCAGTTACTGGATGGCCAGCAAATAACTTTAAAAAACAGTAGTTTATTCAGATCAACACTAAACTGACACTCAGGAAAACAGAATTACCAGCTTCAGAAAGTATCCCAAGAACATTCCCCAGGGAAGACTGGAAGGGAAAAATCAAATGGGTAATGACTCCATCTACAGGAATCAGGAGGTAAAAAGGATACTGCTGTCCTTCCCATCCTCTCCATCCAGAAAAGGCCAAGACCGTTCCTTCCACATTAGCTAATAACAACATTCAATAAAAGGGACACTGAAAAAAATCAGCATAAGTCACTGTTCACAGCACCCTAGGGAAAACTTTTTGTTTTCACATACACTTCATTAAGGATAACAGAAGCATGCCAGTGTAGTCATAAGATGTTAAACTTCCATTCACAAAGCCAAGCTTAACGACTATGAAAATATTTTCAAATTTTTAGATGCCATCTCAGTTAGAGTTTCTAAGTCTTCTACAGAATAATTTTTTTCCACTGAGGTCAGGAGAAAAACATCTCTACATGAAAAATACTGTCATTCTACAGGATTATTCTAATTTTAGCATCGTACTACATAACCTCTGCTAAAAGTGTATGATCTTGTAAACAACTACAGTCATGAAAACACTGCAATAAAATGGTAACAAAAAAACAGAGGTGAGTTCACGTTTTTAAGTTTATATGTGCATTGTGGCCCGGCCTTCAAACTCTTACTCAGGAAAAGTGACGTAAATGAGGTTAAAGTGAATACTATTTGATTTTTTTTTTTCAACAAAGTGTTACAGTTACACAAGTTAAACTCTTGATGTGAAACCTAAATCAAGTCAACAGTCTTGAAAAATGTCAAATTATTCCCCAAACTCTATTTTTTAAAAAGTTGAGCTTTTTTTAGACCTAATTGAGGAATCTGTCTTGACAAGACTTTTGAAAAAAACCTGAGATGGTAATTAATTAAGAAGCAGATGCTTTAACAGATGTTTCACTAGTTACAGTCACATCTCATGATTTGTGTTCTCCTAATTCAGTGTAACATTATACGCGCTGTGTTTTAACAGAGTTGTAAAACTCATTCCCTCGCCATGCCATCCACGCAAAGAGAGTGTAAAATGCTATTAAAGCAAATAGCTCTCTTATTTGTAAATCACTGCCCAAGTTGTAAACAGCAAAGAATCCAGTATCTTCTGTATAATCTACAGATACGTTTCCACAGTATTCTCCAAGTATTGTTTATTTAATTTTAATTTAAATTCTAGCAAAACAGCAATAAATTCTGAATAGGAAACAAATATTTAGATACGATACTAAAAAAATATATGAGTTGGTAGTACATGGTGTTTTATTTTCTAATTAATGTGTGCTACCTACAACGAGCAGCCCTATTTGTAATCAGTGAATAAAATACTAATAATAGAGTTTTTAATTATATTCTTTCTAGTTTCTAAGACCACTGTTTAAAACCTGTAACACTTCATTGCATATTAAATAAAACAAATGAAAAATAATGAGCTACATTCTTCTTCAGTGTAACTTGCCTCTATAGATCAATAATAATGGGAAATTTATCTCAAAATGCATTTATTAAAAGCAAGGAAACTGCATCTGAGGAAAACCTAACACCAAACGAGTAAACTTCTTCAACAGAAAACTCAACAAGCCTCTGTTTCTGTGGATGGACATGTAAGATTTAGCATTTGTACCCCAATTATGCCTTTTTTCCCTGGCTACATGTCATTCTCTTACACCACTGGTTTCCAGTCTCCACAGGACTGGGCATCCCAGACCCATCTTCTCCCGAAGCAAGACATCCCTCCCCACTTAGCCACGCAGAGGGGACCCCAGGCACCCCTCAGCTCTCACTGGGGGCCTTTACATCACTGAAGGAGGATGATATGACCCTGCGGCGCTGCTCTGTCAGCAGAGGAGGGGTGTGCCGGCTCACCTGGTTGTAGAGGGCACAGATGTGCAGTGCAGTGTTTCCCGAGGCATTCTGTGCACACATATCAGCACCGTAGAAGAGGAGGTGCTCTAGATGTTGGACGTGCCCGTATCGGCAAGCCTGTAAGAGATGCATTCAATATTTTGGTTATTACAGAATCTAGGCAAGCATTCCAGGCAAAGATTTTTACAAGAGAAGACGCCATTTTACTTAGGGTCTAATTTTTAGAACCAGCCCTGGAATGAATGGGAGGACTCGACTGATGGTCGAGTCCCCATCCCTGGAGGTATTTAAAAGATAGGTTTTTACAAGGTGCTTAGGGACATGGTTTAGTGGTGGGATGGAAGGGTTAGGGTAACAGTTGGGTTTGATGATCTTAAAGGTCTTTTCCAACCTAAACGATTCTATGATTCTATGACTAACACCTACACGTGCATACCTGCCCGTAAATGCCAATGTGTGCACTTCAGGTAGAGCAAGTCTGTGCTTAAGTTTAAGCGTCTGCTTATTTGAGGAAAGGCAATTTAAGATGTCAAGAAAATACAAAGTTTGACACTTTTTATCCACTAATATTCATAACTGTCAAATGTAACAAGCAGCCAAACAGGTTTTTTGTCCTGCAACTCTTCGGGAAGTTGCCCACTAGATGGCACTGGAGATGATCAGATTTCTAAAGCTTGCCTTTAAGGTGTGGAAACAGTAAAATTTAATAATTTTCTTGATTCTGTGATGTCAAGTAGATTCACAGTGTACACAGGGCACTGATCCAAAAGAGGGAAAATCTTCAAGAGTTACTTTATCAGTCACACAAATAAAATGTTAGACCCCGAATACTTGGAAATAAACATCTGTGAATGAGATTCCACTGAATTTGAAACTTTCCTGATTAGGGAATAAGTTTGAGAAAAATCACAGTATTTCCAGTCATCAGTCTCATTTACTTGACTACGTTCTACTCTATAGCACACCGAGTTCCTCCCAGTTTGTAATGTTTCTAGCTTTGTATCATCTCAAATCAGTATCGTTCCTGTATAATAATACGGAATTTAAGCTGAGAGATACAGGTATACAAAGCCATTCATTCTTTCTTAGGTACCTAATTACTACTGACTTTGGTGGGAGTTACAAACCTACACATCTTGCAATTTGGATCAGAAATATTAAGCCTACTGGCTCAATAGACAAGTTAAATCTGTGACACATCCCAAATCCCAGTCTAGTATCCTAACCATTACATCTTTTCATCCTCCATTTTCCATTTTCAACACACAGAATGGGGAAAAAACAGTGTTTATTAAATAGTTTATTCATTTACAAATGAATTCCCAAAATAATGGAGACATTATGCTAGCTGTTATTAGAACAGGAACATTTTAACACGAGGCAACAGGAAGCAAGCATCCAACAACAAGCAAAGGGAGAAACAGTACCACGCCATAACTGTGTTTCTGACTGTGCATGAGAATAAAGCAAATGCACAATTAGCTATAAATTACCAATTCTGTCTAGTCTTGAAAAGTCACTCAACATCTAGGTATGAGCATGTAGATGTAATTAGTAAAATAACTCCTACAATACAAGAACTAATTTCAACTTTCTATTCTTACTATAATAAACTGGACTAAAACCAAGCCCTTCCTCCACTTTGCTTCCTTTGCTAGACCAGTATTTGCTTCCTCTTTGCCCATCTGATGCTTACCTAGCTTACAGGGAGGTGCTGGAAGACAACCAGCACAGGGGAGATGCATTTCCCCTCATTATAGGTGTTTGGCCAGTAGGTGAGCTGCCCAAACCATTCACTGGGGCTCCCCAGTATGGTCAATGAAGCGGGACAGGTATCTCCAGAGGATATCTCTTTTATTACCATCCTAGCACAGCATGAACCTTTTCCCCTTTACTATAAGGGTAACCCAGAGGCTTAACTCTACAGTTAAAGATTGTGTTAGCAAAACGAAAAATATCCTTGCTACCAATTATTTCCTTGCCATGCAAGGTAACTTTGCCTTCTTCACACAGACAACAACATATGGGGTTGTATCATAGCACCACCTTTCTTAATTCACTGTGGAATGCTTGTATTATCGATCACTGAAAACAGATTGCCCATAATCCCGACATAAACACTGATTTAGTTAGGATTACAACCAATAGAAGTTTGGAAAGCTCTGTTTCATTATAAGAAATAGTAACCAGATGTGTATAAGGCTGGATTTTCAAAATAGGGAATTTTTCTCTATATTTTCAGGGAGTCCAGATGGGGTAATACTTCTCTCTATACAATCCATTTCCTCCACATCTTCAGAAATGATGGTAGTAAATTAATCCTTTTTTTTTTCTTCTGCTACAGATGGATCCAAATGTCTTCGATCTGAACACACTTAACACAGTGAAAAAGCTCAGATCCCTGCCCAAACCTGGGTACCAAAGCTATCTCCCATTTCTTTCAAAGAAAAGAAGTTGTGTACTAAAAAGATTAGTGCACAGAAAAGAAAGTGAGCCTAGATAACCTAAGCAGCCTGCAAGGTTGATTACTCATATCTTTATTTATCCGATCATACTACATCAGTTCCACTTTTCATGATTACTCGAACTCAGCCACACAGAGGAAAGGCGTAACATAGCTGTTAATGACATTCGGACTGCTAGAATCTTTAACCTTTGTATATTACTGAGTTTATTGCTATGCGAAGAGTAATTAATAAAGCATTCTTACACAACTGTTGCATAATATTCAGATGTTTCTGGAGAAGACAAGGTAAAAGAGTTCAGAGAAAACGCTTTTTCAGAAAAAGCCTTACCAAATATCATAGGTGTTTTCAAAAGGTACAGTTTCAGTTTTGGTGAGGAAGGAGGTTTACTTTTCCAGTAACTGTGATGAAGCTGACAAAAATGTGCCAGCGCCTGATGAATTCTGGCACCATAGCTGGCTCAAGGTATCAGGAGCACCATGAACCTCAAAAGATTACTTTTTTAAAATAATTTTTCTTTACAGAGCACTCTACAACCTCTATCAAAACAGTGAATACGTAAGATAGGAAAGGAAAACCCACGTACAAACAGGAAAAAAAAAAAAAAAAAAATCATTAGAATCTCAGTTTCCACACATGCAAGGAATGAAAACTGACTCAAAGTGAGAGTTTGTAGGAGTTTAACATCCTTCAATGCAATGTACTGAGGGATCCTAGGACCGGATCCTGAATCCAAATCCTCCTGTGAAGTTCACCAGAGAGAAAAGAGAAAGTGCCTCTGACAAACACGCAAGAAGCATTACTAAGGATACTAAAATTGGCATCTAACAAAAAGATCGAGCTACATTTTCTTAATGAAGTGCCCCTAGTAGGATGCTAAACTTCCAGGAGTCCATTACATAAACATGACTAGTGCAATTTCTGCAGCAAAATCCACAGCAACCATAGGACTTCGAAGTTACAGAACTCCACTGGAACAGTTTCCGCTTCTAATTGCCCACAGCAGGATGCAAAGTAGTAAGCAAATAGAAAAAGGAAGAAATTCCATACTTGTACGTGCAGGGACTAAACATAATCTAAATAACCTTCAAAACAGCGTTTAACCATAGAACATACATGGCATGTTCCCTCACGCAACTTCAACTCCAAACAAAGAGCAACCTTTCCTACCTGATGAATTTCTTGCCATCCATTTTCATCTTTGCAACTGACTGTAGCGTGTTCATGAAGTAACAGTTCACAGCAGTAGGGATCCCCTCCCACAACAGCAGTGTGGTACAGCGGCGTCAGGCCACAGCTGTCCTTGTAGTTAGGAGATGCGCCAAGCTCTAAAAGGGTCTGAAAGCAATCACAGACTGTGAAAAATATAGAAAAATGTATTTTGGAGGGACTTCTAACCATAAAGGGACTTTTCTACTTGAAGAAGTATTTACAAGGTTGATATTTGACATAACGTATAATTTTTGCTCACTTCTTTATAAGCTGATAGAATGGGCTGCGGCACAGAGTAAGTTAAGCAAGGAATGACCTTGGAAGAATTAGGATCTAAAGGAATCTACAGGGATAGCAAGGAAAGGGTGAGTGGCAATGTCCAATTTCCACCCTCTCATTAAGTTCAGAAATCTCAGTTCTGAAAATGCCACATTGCCTTTGAAACGCATTCAGTTACAAGTTAAAAGACGCTGTATCAAAAATGTCATGCAATTTGAGTATCTGTCAAAAGGAAATAAGCAAAAGCCATAAACATAACACTTCACCTAGAACATCAAGGTGATCTGCGAATAGCTGTTAAAATACAAAAGAAAACGCAAGAGGCTGTGTTAAGATATAATGCGTAATCTGGCATTTGCTTTCAAAGAGATAAGCAAAAATAATGCTATTCATATTTCTTCAGACAGGTCTTTCCCAATCTATCAATGAATAAGGTTAAATTTCACCACTTTCTCCTCCTCTCAAGAAAAATTATAAGGCCCTTTATTGAAAGCAAATCCTAAGATTTGAAAACCACAAGAAAGCACTAGAACAAGCACATATTAAAGGATCCACTAAGGACAATACAGTAATTAATTGAATACATTCTCCTTTATATATTTTTCTATAAAATAATGTATAATTTGTTACTGAAAGCATTTACCTTGAGTGTTATTTGGTTCTTGGCTCTGGCTGCTTTGTGCAGAGCCGTCATTCCATCTTTTGCTCTGAAGTCCAAATGTGCTCCTCCATTTTTCAGAGCTTTTATCACTTCTACTGTATTGTCAAGCTGAACTGCCAAAGTTAGGGGTGTTTCTAAAGAAGAGAATAGCATGTACTTGAAAAAAGATGACCAAATTTGTAAAATAAAGAACATTTGCTTTAAAAATGGTAAGTAAAAAATGCTGCTCAAAGAAAATCATAAATTATTAATTTTCTCCTTTGGACAGCAATACCATGCAGACTCCACTAGCAACAGAAAGAATGTGTGAGATTCAGCCTGTTAATTGATTTAGGTTGAACAAACCCAAGGTACTACTTTATACTGCCAGTTTTATTTTCTGACCTCCACTTTCTAGGTCATGATAGTTTGGGTCCAGTCCTCGGTCCAACATCTTTGTGATTTTTTCCACTGAGAGATGGTGGACATGATCCATAAATTTTCTCAAATTAGCCTGAAACAAAGAGCAACAAATTAATTATTCTCTGATTTTAAAAAGAAAATTTTGATTAAAAGTGAAGTATTCTGTCAATTGATGTCAATATCCATTGACATCATTGAACAGTAGCTCATTCACGTTCCTGGAGAACCTGACTTTATACTGAGAGTATAAACCCTACGGTTTGTAACGTTCAAAAGTCAAGCACAGTAAGAAGATTCTGGGATTCACAGTATTAAGGAAAAAATGACTGAAATATTCATGCAGTATGAAATTATGATGGTGTATGGTGATCATTATTATTATTAGGACCTGAAAATGAGTCTAAAGACATAGATCAGCATTTCTGCAGCATGCTGAAAGCACATCGTATTTACGAAGTACGGTTCATTTAAAATTAATTGTATACACATGGAAAAGTCAATCATGGGAATATTTCTATGAGAGAAATTCCCAGATCACAATTCACACATCCCTGTTGGTGCTGGAAGCACATACTGTTTGTTATTCAGCAACTGGCCCAGGTGGTAATGGACTCCTACTTCTTTCCAGTTTCTCAGACACATTGCTTTGCTAAGTCAGCAATTGCCAACTTCTCCAGCAAATCAGGCATACCTTTGTATGAAGCTTGGCCAGCTGTTTTTCATCAAGATTGAGCTGTTTGTACACTCTTTTCTTGTATCGAAACTGAGGGAGGAAAAAAAAAGAATCAATTTAAAACTTCCTATTTTGCTTAAAAACTCCTAATATAATTTTCTGACCTTACCAGAAAGTATCACACATGATGATGTAGATTAAGGCAAAATTCAAAACAAGGCTTAGTATTTAATTTTGAATATTCACCAATAATCAGCACTCTGCTTAACATAGTGGCATTATGGTTTCACGGTTCATGTAAGCAAAATTCAGACCTTGTGTAAATATACTGAAATCAGTGCAGGTGTACAGGAAATGAGATCGGCCTCTAGAATCTACATAAATAAGTAAGAGTTATAGTGTAAAGAGCTTTTCCCTAAGGGTATCTGTGTACTTTCATTTATAGTCTCAGGCAGAAAGAAGTACTGAAAAGGCATATTAAATTTAAATATATATATATATATATTTCAATATATCAGCTTAGAGTTTCTGAAATTTTAAAAATAAATAAATAAATAAATAAGGATTCCTGAAAAAACCCTTAATCAACATAGGCAGAACTTAGACATGGGGGTAGTTCGCCTCATGTTTAACAGGACTGGTCCTCGGAACGAGGTTCAGAGGATTGCCTCTTTTTATGGCTGAAACTCATTCCCTTTTTTCCCCTGAACGCTTTCCTACCCTATGGCCAGAGTAGCAAAAAACATGGGGTTTACATAGTTATAATTTACTATTATCTAATAACACGGAATTCAAAAAATGCAGTACATTTCATTGTGCAAAGAGACGGTACCAAATGAGGCTTTAATACCAGCTTTTCACAGGACCACGTTTAACCCCTGAATTGCAATGCTTTAGCTGCAGCGAGAAGAATTTTGCAAACAGTGAACACTCATGAAACAGAACATGACAGAAAAAAAAAATAAAGTGGTTATTTAATCTGTTTATGGCTATAATACAGGCATCAGTGACTGAATCTCTGAAATAAACTGCTAGAAAAGCTGGTACTTGAAACCTTCTCTGGACCTTGGTTCCTTTTTCTTGTGTTATAGTGGAGTCTATTAACTGCAGATTATTAGTGGTTGATGTACCACCATACAAGCAATACCAAAATTAATTAAATACTAGTTTCATGCCCCAGTTTCCTGCTATACTGTGTTTCAGTGTGATCTGGCTCTGCTCCATGTTTGCCCAGTGCCATAATAGTTCTGCCCAGTTTATCCCCCAGCTGCACAGCCTCTGCAGCAGCAATGGAGAGGGGGGGGAATTCCAGTGTCTGCGTGTGACTGCTTCACACATCCACACCCTCTCCTCCCTTACTGCTTTCCCAGGAGACAGCCAGAGGAAATCTGTACACACTGAAGGAGGGCACAGAGGGAACTAGATGGGGGAAAAATAAAAATTAAAAAAAAAATAAAATAAAAATCAAGGCTTCACTGAGAAAGAAAGACCCTCTCTTTGGGAGAAAGCAAAGGCTGTTTATTCAGCAACTGCTACCCTACTATCGTCAACCTAATCATAGACCCAAAAGCTTAATCTAGGACCTTACACTTCTTTATTAAACCACAGAGTAAGATGCATCTCTGGGGGCCCCAGCAGAGGAAAACTCCAAAATCAAATTTCCCAGAGGGACTAATTCTTTGCAACTTTCAGGGTTGGAATAGCTCCATCAAGCAAGTGAACACCAGCACTTCTGTGAGCAAGGGTTCAATTTCAGACTTGCTGATTACTATTTCCCAAATGCAATTCAGATGCATGTAGAAATCTCAAATACAGCTTACTGTATAATTTGCATCAGAACACAAATGCTTCAGATATTAGATCTAAAAATACCTCTAGTGAAGGAACTCCTTTATTCACTGGCTGTGGGTATTCCCTAAGAAGCCGCTCCTCATCCAAAAACTTCCCATCTCTACCATTGCTTGCAGGCTGGAACAGTCCATAATTCAGGACGTCTTTCAAACTCTGATTCAAAGTGCACAGAATTCGTTGCTTTGCAACCCACACTGATGCTTCTGGGTTAAATCGAATGCATTTCTGCAAAGGGAAATTATTAAAAACTCTAATTAATGAAAAAACATTTAAAGAGTATCTTACATTCTAAAGTTCACAAATGTCATAAATACATATCAACATACACAATAAACCTACAAATTCCATTACAAAACATACATTAACAGAATTCTATTTCAGACGTGCATTCCTCCGTAACTACTAATGCACAAGGACTGTGAAAACACAGGAGGTTTCGAGTCCTTCCACAAATATCAGAGACCATGTCCTTCTTCAGAGAAAGAACACATTTGTGGCAAACCTGTTCAAAAAGCCAAGTGAAAGGGATGTTACAAGATGTTTGACCATCCGCTTGATTCTAGGCTGTTCTGACAATCATCCTGATCCTCAACAATTTCACAAAAAAAAAAAAATTCTAATTTATTTTAAGCTACATTTGTCTTAGGGCAAGTTTATGGGAGGAACTATAACACGCGAAGCAGCGTAGGGCTTGAAAACCTTGGAAAATCCAATTCCCTACTCCTTATCAAGTTGGAATTTAGGAATTTAAAAAATTTAGGAATTTTGTAGTTGTAGCTTACATTGCAGTCATTGGCTACGAGCTACCAGCAGATGGCAATACCAGGAAACCCATTTGTCTCCCCTGATTATGAACGTTCAGCACTGCTGACTCACCCCATACTGGGCCACAAAAAGGGCTCGTACCAAACTGCCATGGCAGAGCTACAGCACAGCAGCCCCTTCTTTGCCCATGCAAAGGACATCCCCAGCCCCCCCAAGGCAACACGGGATGCAGGGATTGCACGTGGGCCAAAGCAAAATTTTAACAGAGGTATCTTTTTTTATCAGTACATTTCCATGTGTGTCGCTGTAATTCTGGCTACAGTAATGATGTCAGACGCTGCTCTTCAGGCCTTTTCTGAAGACCTCTGCTACTCTTCATGTTATAATTATACATAGAGATAAGAGAACAGAAGAGCAAGTAAAAATAAGACTGATGTTTTATGAAGAGACTGAAGTGTTTCCTTTAACTTTACCCACAGCTGCTTCTGCAATGCTCACCTCTGCAATGTCTGTCGACATCTTTTTAAAGTCCCGAGGCCATCCATAAGAAAATGGTTGCAGTTTGTCTTTTAAAACTAAACATATTTGTCCTGGCAAGCCCTGCATACACCTGAAAGCAATCTCTGATCCCGCATACGCAAATCAAATAACAAAAATTAATTTGAATATTTCAATTCTGCATTTTGAAGAGCAAATTCAAAGGCAGAAGTCACACTATTTTATACGCTCACAGTGTCTTCCTGACTGTTCCAATACCACATGGTAAATATTTGCAACAGCAAGAAGTACAGGACATGAAGGACTTTCAATTTACAACTCTTTTAACTGAGTAAACACCACAGTCAACCAGTCCTTCATGTATATTCACTTTATCAGAGCAGAGATGACTAGCTGGTTCTGCACATCACAGCATACTGAAGTTGAGGGGTTTGGCTCTGCTTCTGTGAATTAATCATCAGCTATGAGGATTATCACTAGACACGGATACCGAGAGGTCCTCTATTCATCGTTGCTGAGTAGCAGTGCCACTGAAGTTGTTGTGATAGCATCTCACAGGGCTTTGCCCAAGGAAGCAAAGCAGGCTTGGGAACACTGGGCTCTGGCCAGCTCCACTGCTCCTGGGCATGAATTGTTAAAAATTACCATTTGGTTTGTCTTTCATCGGTTCCTGCACAAACTGCACTTTTTCAGATACGGCTCAAGTACTGACGTTAAGACATATTGGAGTATGTAAGGAAAGAGCGATAAAACTTTCACTGCAATGTGCTTAGGTTATGCTTTGACCTAGGAGATAACAGATACCTGCAATCCTTTACAGTCTTAAATCTAAAAATGTAATCAAATAAGGTATTAGATTTCATCAAAAATAAAGTTGGCTAGGAAGCAGTTTTCATTTCCCTTACATATTTTACATCTCAAGGCGTTTTGTGAGAAGTTGGGGGTTTTTGAATGGTGGAGGGAAGGAGAGAGTGAGACAGAAAGACCATTATAAACACTATTTTCATTCCCGAACAGCCTGGCAGTTAAGGTACTGACTTAGCAGCAAGGGCAAACTGTTTTAAATCCCCATGTTCCCTATGTTCCTTCAGCTCTGAACCTCAGTTGCCCCATGACTCTTACATGGATTCAAACTTCAATACAAAGTTCAGACTCAAATATCAGTAGTTTTCGGCAACTCTAAAAATTGTCAGTTACGATGCACGCTGTATCATCATGCAGCGACTTGGGATTCTCCACACACCCTGAAAGACTGTAAGAAATGCTATTAAAACGGCAGGAAGCAAAGAAAATTTTGAGATTACACGGGTTTTTCCAGGAAAGTCTTTCTTACATGGAATTCTTAGGCGAAACAAATTATTTTGGACTTGTACGACACTGCTTTGATTTTAACAATACAAAACACTAACCTCAGATCACAGTTTAACCAAGCCTGCTTTTTTTAATGCACCTCGAGAATTCAACATGTTCAATTTTGTTCAGTCTGTTCTTGCATTTTATCCGTTCTTGACTGCATGAGAATATTGCAGATAACAGTGTGTATTTCTAATTCTCAGAGATTTCCTATATTGGTAAAATCATAAATAATTTCCCATTCCTTCAGAATATATTTCAATGTAAAATAAAAGTTTCCACAATGTTTATGCACATGGCATCAGTAACACACAACATTTATCTTCTGAAATAGCTTGCTTTTTACAGGTCTGACATTGGCACATTCATATAATGCATGAGGACAGGACAGAGTAGTTTAACCACCTTCGCTGGACTGAAAGGGCAGTGAGGGATTCTTTTTGGGCAGTAGCTTGAAGGCTTGTTCTAAAATGAGTGATCTGATAACTACCACACTAGCTACAATATTTTACAGAGTCCTCAATGGCAGAAAAAATGTGGAAACACTTTGAAACTAGTCATTTCATGAACTAATTTATTCACAGCCCTACCTTTTCTAGGGATTCACAAGAAACAAAAATGCACTTATTTTAATAAATGTTGATCCCATTGGCAATTTATAATGAATTAAGATCGATGATGTAAAAAGCAACTCAACAACCAAACAACTGTCTCCTACCAAATTTCTCAGACTCAGATAAGTGAAGCTAGTGAGAAAAGTGATTATTTCCGCTTCCCATGAAGCCAGGCGCGACAGAGAGGGAGGCTGTTACCACTTTCTCAGAGGCAGCTGCTGAGCAAGAGGATAAGAATGACCACTCAAATGCTGCATAAGGTGTATTTTACATCAGCCTGCCCCTGGAATACCTCCCCTGTGCTGCTTCTCTGCCCGCCTGGCAGACCTCCGTGGACAGAGACCACCACAGTCATCATCTTCATCGTGTAGACAAATCGTTACGTACTGCTACACTTTCTACCCTGAGAAAATGTCAGCTAAATCACAGCAGAATCTACACACAGATTGCTTTAGTTACGAAATAAATAAGAATTCATGAGATGCACATGGTGCTGTGACAGCAAGGAAACAAGACAGTAGCTCAGTCAAAAAAGCTGGACAACTTTTTCTAACCTTCAATGACTTATCAAAAAACCAATAAAAAAATAGAGATAGTTTAGTGGCAAAGAACTACAGAAACACACAAGAAACTTAAAGATATTTTGCATTGACAGACATAGGATCTATTCTTTCCACCCTTTTTGTTGTATCCCAGGATCAGATAAAATGTGATCATTTGTCTTGAAGGATACCTACATACACTATGAAAACTGCAACAGTTCTTCCAAATAAGAACCAAAAAAGAAGCCCTGAGTGGCTCAAAAACACTGCCAAAACCACGCTAGGCCACTCAAAATCCAAGTCTAGCAGCAAGACAGCACTTCAACATTGGTTGCTGAAATGTGAGACCTGTGGTTTTGGTATTAAAGCTGTTTGGATCATGAGAGACGTGGTCAGTTATCATCTTGCATCCCTGCACGCTGGTGAGAGTAAGCCACCAAGCGCAACAGAAGGACTGGAAGGAAGGGAAAAATATAGCTCGCCTGCTCCAGCTAAAGGGAAGATATTAATTCAACGGGAATAATGTTCATGATACAGAACCTCTGAGGAATAACATTTACCCGTTCAAAATCTATCAACCAACACATCTTTTTCATCAGACTCACAGAGTTATCAATCACGCAGAACTGCGCTGCAACAGAGGAACCATGACAAATGGTTGGTACAGCTGCCTCCAAAATGTGATTGTCAGAGTATCAAAATACAAGTTATTCCTTTCAACAGAAGACGCTGATATTAAAGATGTGACAACCAAAAAGTGGAAAATGCAAATGAGAGTTGGGTATCGTGAAAAAAAATGGAGCAAGTCACTCGTTTTGATTTGTGCTCAGTGCTCAACGTAATTCTTGCAGACACTGCTTTCCTTCATCAAAATGCATTCAGAAAACACAGAACTCATGAGATGAAAGGTCAGCAAAATTACTCTGGCCACACCGCCATCAGCTGGCAAGTCAGATCACCTGTCCAGGTCAAGGGCATAAGAACAAATGTCAGCAGCACCCACAATGTTCCCATCATCAAACTGAAGATAAAAAGAAGGAAGATCAACTATAAACAGAAAGCAGCAATGAACAATCAGTCACGAAACGGGATACAGAAGAATACTTGTGAAAAGTTGCAAAGGAAAACCTGGAATCAATCTGAGGCAGCGGATGGCAGTACAGACTGGAAACAAGTAAAAATGGAGGCATCTTAAGCAAAAACGTGATTCAAGCTGCAGTTGCAACAACTGGGTTCCTACCTTCATAAGATAAAAATTGCACAAACTGAGCAAGTGTGTTATCTAAGAAAGAAAAGCACTAAGGGAAACTATTCTTAATATAAAGGCCATTGAATACTGGAAAAAGTAAAGAAAGGATACAAAAGTATAGACAGCAATGCAGAAGTGGAAAACCAAAAAGTAGCTACAACTTAAGCTGTTGCTTTACCAAACTGCCACTTACCAAACAACATTTTGCTTGGCAAGTCCAATATAAAAAAAAAAAAACAAAAAAAACCCACAAAACCAGGGGTGGGGAGAGTCAGTAAAATGCTCATTACTGAAGTGGAGCAGCAAAACAGATGGCCAGAAAGCAGTTCAAAGAAGTCTTCAGCAGACCCAATCCCATCACAGCATCAGAATTTAATAAAACATATGAATCTGAGCATTTTGATTTTAAACATAACCCAGAGGGAGCACGCAAGTACAGGATAAAACAAAAGAGCAGAACCACCACCATGTGTTGATAATGAAATGATGAAAACATTCCTTAAAACAATTGGCTGACAGATCTGTTCCTGAAGTCTGGGAAACACAGCAATTCTAAGCACAAAACACTGGACATCACTGTCAGAATATCACGCAAAGGAGATTTGCTTGACAACAACTACTGGAGAGGAACCGGGCTCCTTCCAGCTATAGGCAGCACCGCTTGTGATATAGTCCTACGTGGGCTGATAAAGGAAATGGATGCAAGAAAACTTACCAATATTCAGACCAAAAAGGTCCAAGGAGAGGTCAGATATGCCAGGCAACATAGAGAATAAAAAGGCAACAAGACAGATTTCCTACTATGGGTGATAATTCATGAAGTTTTCTACAGCAGCACATCCTACCTATGATGCTTGGTGCTTATCTCATACGTGCAATGAAATAAAGGTGATTTACACCACTGTGAGATGTGTGAGATGAGCAAACTCTTATTCCTAGGGAGTTTAGCTAGGGGTTTAAAGCTTCCCAGTGGGTTGAGTTTTACCTAAAACCCTAAACTTGCCTTTTTTTAAACAAATATATTCTTGATCATTCTTTCTAAAAAACAAGAATAAAAACATAAAACTAAATTATGTCATTTCATGCTCCTTTGATTAAACGGACTAATTTTAAACACCTCTTATGATAAAATAACTATATTTATATAGTAAATGGGGTATATGTTGGATTTGGCTTGTAGCTATACACAGCTCATAAACTATGATCTTCTCCAAACTTTGCTACACTACATTTAAGCTATCAGTCTTCCTGTTTGCAAACCTCAATCCAGATTTCACTTTTCTGTACCAGAGCTTGTGGGGTGACAAATTAAATCAGAAATAGATCATCTGCTATAGAACTGTTTAAAGCAATTCAGTTACTTTTCATTAACAGATTATGGAAAAGGAAAAAAAATGCGAAAGTAAAGCAATAAAAATGAACCAATGAAACACAAAATCAAAAATACTTTGGGGTTCAGTTCACCTCCTGCACAAAATTATTTTTTAATTTTTTTTTATATTGTCAATAAATAATGTTATTGGTCTAAAAAATAGAGTAATTAAATAAGAGGGCATCAGGAGGCCAACAGCTCTCTGTTTTTAACAGCAGAACAAACCTGGCAAGTAAAGCTAATACTTCCATTTTACTGGATCTATTCATTGAGCACTGAAGATACAGCAAGCTGGTAAGATCATCAATAAGAACCTACCCATGTCCAGTCAGAGCTTGTCTTGACAGAGGACTTCCCCTACAAGCAAAATCCTTTTAAATTTAAGATGTACAACAGTGGATTTCAGTATTTCAACCAATACTGAAATGAAAGACCCAAGGTGATGACTGCTTCTGCCAAGATTTAATATAAAGCCCACGTGTGGCTCACAGCAGCCTCAGTCCTGCTCTGCCCTCTGAAGCCTTCCTGTCCCGCTCACGTCCCACACCACTTCCTCATCACGGACGTTAATCTCACACCATATAAACTAATGGACTGGCACTGTCATTTCAGCAGCAATCCTCATCTAAAAGAATTTTTTTTAAGTACAAGAATTTAAGAGACAATGCTCCCAACTTCAACACAGATTTCTTTTTGAGTTTCTACAGCACTGGATAGATTGGGCTTCAAAAAAAAAAAAACAAAACCAAGAGCTCCACAACTACACCTGAGGCCACACTGTCAAAACAGCTCTTCCCTGTCAGCCTGTAGGCAGGCCATCTCTATCATTCTAAAAATGAACTTAATTAAAAAGAAAGGAATAATTACATCTGAGATAGATCTTCAATGGCAGCACAGTATGATGTAGATCTTAAATGTCAGCACAGAGTGATGTATGTAGCACACGTCCATAAAAAGAATGCGTTTTTATAATCATCTTTGAAATGAAAAAAGTCTGATGCCTACCATCAATTGAAAAACCTGACAACAGCATTCAAGCAGGCCCAGGGTAATTTAGATAATTAATCAGAAGCTTGGACAAGTTGTGTTTCTAGACAGAATCAGTAACTAACTCCCAAGACCTTCTCTGGGATGAGGCTGTTATTCCTATGGTAGCACTTGTGGAGGACACAGATTCTTCTACTTACAAAGTTACAACAGCAAACTTTTCCAACTTTATGCTCCTAACATTCCAGGCATTGAATTTTACACATTCAACCATAAAAGAAGCACAACTTGGTAGATCCTTGTGAGAAAGGGTGAGAATTTGGACTGTACATTTTTTTTTTTTTTTTTTTTTTTTTTTTTTTAGTTAAAAAAAACCCAAACCTTTTATTCTCATTTACTCAATTAGTCAGACATTTTTTAACAAATGAAAAGTGTATTCAAGTCTTTCTGTCTCTATTTTCATCCAACAGACTTATGGATGTGAGATATAGCCACAGGTCCACAAGTCAGCTTGCAAATGACTCCTCTAGGAAAATCAGAAAAGGTTCAGTTTACCCTCTCTGTTTCCAGTATAAGTGGTGAGGAGGTGGGAGAGAATAAAACAGCAATTTCATGTCACTGTAAAAACTGTGCAACAGTACGATGCCATGCTTTATTATTCCTCCAATCTGAGTGTGTTGATTTCTCTGGGTGGAAGTCTGAGAAACACCACCATGTAGTAAAGGCATAGCAGCAAAGCAGGAAGAAAATATTTATTTGTGCTTCTCTTTCCTCACCTTTATGCTCTAAAAGCCAACATCTATCTAATATCTAAGGATATCTTTTCATGGGAGCATGGCAGAGAAAGGCAACTAATATGGTAAAGAGAGAATTTGATGACCTCCTGCTAGACCCCAGTATAGTGTCAGTCACAAACTATCTCATGAAAAGAGAAACTAGACAAAGCAATGGGGTTGTATATGTACAAGCCTTTTGCAGAGATAATGTCATTTTTGGGTTCATCCCTCTATCTTCTCATGAGATTTTAGACACATAATTCTCTTTTTTCTACCCGAACACCTCTCAATGCAGACCAGACAGATATTTTGCTTTGTGATCACAGCTTTCATCAAGTTAACACACTAAATACACTCTCTTGGATGGGATGGTGACTTTAGTTTAGGCAATCAGTCGGGGAAAAAATGTAGACATTAAAAAAAAAACCGACATAAATTTTGCCTGTAATAAGTCAAAAAATGTAAGAAAATAGAACAGATATACTTCAGATTGAAGCCAGCAAAGCTGATCATTTAACTGTACTTTTTTTTTTTTTTAATAGTAATGCACTATGCCTTACCGTCTGCTGCAGATCAGGTATTATAATTCGAATCACTAATGTATTGCTCTGACTGTCTTCCATTCTGCTGCTTGGCTTTTCTGCAGTTGCTCTAATTGTGTCATAAATAGTTTCTTCTTTGGAGCTGTCAGATTCAGAGTCAACAGAGTAGTCGGAAAAGCTTTGTGCCATTTCATCTTCACTTGATGTTGGGCTACGAGGCATGTTCAAGTTTTTTATCCTGCCAATACAAAGGAGAAAGAGAAAAGGAGAAGTTATAGTTAAAGTCTTAAAAATGAATCAGCTACAAGTTTTGTTTTCTTGGAAGTACCATGCATTTAACAATGGAGTTATATGTTTTGTCCTCCTTTCATTTCCTCCTGTAATTTATGTGGGTAGACAGAGTGTAATGGAAACAAATCTGCTACCAATTTACTATAGAAGAGGAAGAGGGACAGGAGAAGAAAAAAGAGTAATAAAAGGGAAGATGACCTTTCTTCCCAGGCACACCCAACCTCCCAAAGGATCCAGAAAAACCCAGCATAATTACCAGGTTCTCTGCTAAATAGCACTGTTGTAAACCGTACTTAGAACTAGACCTGGCTTTAAAGCCTACTTTTCCCAGTGTAAAAAGGCATTTCAGGAAATCAATATAGGTGCTAAACTAACATCATCCTGTGCATCGAGAAACTCTACAGGTAAGGCTTCAATAAAAGACAGTATTTTCAAACAGCAGACTCAACCAAAAATGCAATACTACAGGGAGCCAGAGAGATGCAGATGCTGCTTCGTGGTTTGTGGCTCATACAACATCCTTTAACATCAACACTGCCAAAATCTGTCCTTTATACATACCATGTATACATACAATACACATTTTAGAAACATTTTTCATCTGTGGCACAGATCAGGCTAAAATGAAAATAATGTTTATTCCAAAGTAAGGACATTTGTATTCAGCGGTCTCGCAGTAAGGACAGCAGAACATTTGCCTTCTAGGTTTTTCCAACAACAGCAGCAAGAGACTTTTTTTTTTTGTCCTGCAAACTGAAAGCTTCTCCAGGAAATGAAAATTATTATTCCATGGAAAAATGGGGGAAAAAAATATACTGGAAAAAATTGAAAAGATCACCATAAATTTTGCAGTTCTTGGTAACCACGTACTCCCAGTTTTCAGAGGCCAGAAAAACATAAACATTATTTTTTGTATTTCCCATTAGAAACCTCCCAAGACAATTTCTCTGCTTTTTAATTAAAGAAAAAAATCCTCAGTTAAAAGAAAAAAAAAAACCAAACCCCAACCAATTCCACCATCAGCCCACATTCAAAAAAAGACATTAAAGCAAAAGGAAAGCACAGAAGGGTGAACTGACTTTGCCAAGGTCATTCATACACCAGGCGGCCGTACTGAGGTATCCAAATACACGCTTGCTATAGCAGTCTCACAGTCAGACCCCCCCAAAGCAAATACAGTCAAACAACAGCAGGGACTAAGAGAGTATTTTTTGCCATTGTGTTTCACAATTTAGTTTGAGCCAACTAAACATCACAACCCGATTACTCATTCCTCTTTGCGGTCCGGTCGTTTACACCGCGATGATTACAGAGCAGGCATAAAAGGCTACCGCCCTAATTTAGCATTTTAAGGTGATCATATGTTGGAGCCAGCGTCTATACCAGAGGACAGGCAGTGGCGAGGCAGGCCTAAAGATCGAGGTCAAGGGCAAGCATTTCCAAAGCACATCACATACCCACATCATCAAGTCTTATTGTTATTTCTGATGAAGGACAATTCCAGTGTTATTACCCTCAGCTATAATTACTAATGAAGGCAAAACCAGTGCATTCGAAAATCTGAAAGCATGCCAGTTCACAGCAGCTTAATGCAAGGCTCTGTTTGCAAAAGAAAACTCTTGAGGGAGTATTTCATTTTCTTACTGCTTCACTGAACTGTAGATTAATGCTGCTCTCCAATGCACCTTAAGTCAATAAAAAGCATAAACATTTCGATGGCTTCTTATCTATCTACCAATGCTAGATCACATGAAGCCAAAATATCGTAGGTCAATACACAGTATTTAAGAGCATCGGAGGTATAGGCCAGTGAGTGTGAGGAAAAAGGCATTAAGTTCGTCACATGGTGTGTCTGTCCTGAAAGCCATTTGGAATGCAATATATTCCAGAGCAATGGATTTAACTCCTCTGACAGAGAGCAGTAAACTGCAATTATACAGCAGACAAATAAAGAGTTGAATTAGGAAAAAAAAAACAAAACAAAAAAACAACTTCAAGGTTTTGGCAAGTGTATTTTCATGCAAAAACTACCCAAAAATACCTCACTGTAGAATACAAAGGGAAATCACTAGCTGAAGAACCGACTCCCAGGTTTCAAGCACTTAAGTTTAATAAATAATGGGACAAAGAACTCCTTGGAGACACATCAACAAGGCACAAGTCACCTAATTTTGTGGAATACAGATTAAAAAAAAAAAATATATGCACAAGTAACCACGGAAAGGATAACTAAAGCCTGTATCTATAGTCTGCCCCGACAGTGGTATGGAGAAGCAGATCATTTAAAAGCCCTTTTTTAAACAAGACAATCTAACCACTGGAAAAACTAAATCAGTATAGGTCCCAGAGTAAGGCAGAGCCTGCCAGGGAGCAGAGGTCAGGCATCCCTAAATCTACAGACACCTTGGGCAACGTGGTTGTTCAGCTCTTAAGTTGCATGAAAACAGAAGATACCACCATTTGTTAACCAGAGAGAGCTCCCAGAAGGAAGTTATCTTTTAGGAACTGTTTCAGTTTTCTCCCAGTGATATTCCAAAGACTTTTCCACAACTGAAACTATTACCTCAGGAAAAGTAAGGCAGCTTGCCTGGCCTACCTAGGCTTGTACAGCAGAAAAAAGTACAGCATCCCAGGTTCCTGATTCCCAGCTGGCAATTCATTGGTTCAAAAGGATGTTATACAGCTAAAATATAAATTAGTTTTTGCTGATATGATTGTCTGGGATGTTTTCTTTCATTTTCTTAAAAACACAACAGATATTTGCTTCCTATAGTTAAGCTGATCATATTTTATAGCAATACAATACATCAGTGGCTGCTTCCAGTATCAAGTGCTAAGTGAAGAAATTTCTCCGTGCACAAATGAAAACAGATTTCCAAAGATCTTGGAAGCAAACTCGCAATCCAAACTACCACCACGAGAGTCTTTGCTCCACTTCATGTCCTCTTGTCTGCATTTTCAACTCCCGTACCTAGAGCTCCCTGAGCATCCCAGCCCCGGGCACCCTCCTTCCCCAGCCCCTGGACATCCCCTAACCGCCGGCTGAGCAAAGCAAGCACGAACACCACTTCTGACACAGGAGGGCCAGAAAACATCTGGAAGATGAAAGAATAAAAGGATGGCTACATGCTTACCCTTCTTACTGTACTTTTCCCTTAGCACCTTGCCCTTTAGCTCTGCAGGAGCACCGGGATATATACTCTGTCTCTATAGCTATTGCCAGGTTATGTTTCTCAGGCCAACAGGCATATGAAATAAGTTGAGCTCAGATTGCTGCCTTCCCCTCACAGATGCTATTTTTAGAGCTTTTTTTTTTCCTCTATCCAGCCAGCAACTTTCACAAAATCTAGGAATTTCTTATCCTGCTATTCGTTACCACCCCAACATTAAGGACAGCCCATGCATAAATTCAAAACAAACAAACAACAAAAAAAAAATCTATGGGCAAGTAGCATGACCCTCTGCCTTTTTCTAAAAAAACAAACCAAACAAAAAAAAATACCAACCAAAAAAACTAAGAGTGCATTGGAATCAAAACAGTGCATAGGTTATCGAAAGGGAAGAAATTCAACTCCCAGAGCTCACTCACTTGCTGAATGGTGTGCTCCAGTGAGTCCAAACTGGCATGGCAGGGGGGAAAAAAGAGCAGTGACAGTCTTATTTTTTTGGAGCCTTATGGCTGTTAAGCATCATATGATAAGAATTTATTAAATATATATGTTTAAACTTATTTTAACTGTTAAAACAGTTATTTAAACTGTTAAAACTTTTTAAATGTTAGAAACTTGGTATTTACTAAAGGGATTAAAATATCATTGATATGGACACATATTGGACAGGGTATCTCCATTAAACATAGATGTATTGTAAGACACACAATGCACTTGCTACAAAAATCACATTTGAAAATCTTCAACTTAATGACGGCTATGGGCAATTTTGTTGAGCCTGCAAAGTAACAAACCCTATCTCGTTTCATATTGATAAATATGGAACATAATGATACATGCACACATCAAAACCTATTTTAAAAGACCTCTCTCACATAAAGAGCCCTCCCTATTGTATCCTACACCAGCAAATATAGCGAGTGCAGGTGTGTTTGTCCAGTTTCCCTGGAGCAAACCCAGCAGTCAATATATATCTGACAACCACCAAAGGCGAACAACTACGTGCACAGAGATCCCGCAGAACAACTCCATGGTGAAGGCCGCCCCTTGGGTTTCTGCAGTGGGCAAGACTAACGTACGGCAAGACAGAAGGAAATGCACCCCCAACACCTAGACCAACTTTTGGTAGGGAAATCACATTAAAGGAGGAAACTCTTCCTTCCCCAACCTGTGAGGTTTTGGTTTCGTTACCATGTGAACATAGGCTAGGGTCTCACACAAGTGGCCGTTCTGGACCAATCACACTAGTTATTAGTTCTTCTCTCTCTAAAATACAGCTGAAGCACACGCATCAAATGTCTTGTCCAAGGCTAACAAGGCTAGATCTCAGAGCAAGGTTTTAAATTCAAGGGTCACTGGCTCCCAGTCATGGTAAGAACAATCTATTTTTATATAAACATTCATTTGCACAATAACAGTCCTGTTGCCTGCAGGGAGAAGCCCTCTAGACTGCTATTGTCAGATGAGTTAAAAATGCACCTGTGGGAATATCTCCGATACAGAGCCGGCATTGTTACGGGTTGAGTAATGCCATTAAGCAGACTGTGAGAAAAGTCTGCTGTTAGAATAACAGCAACTGCTAGAAGGAGGCATTTAATAATTAACTCTGAAGAAAAACTATTCAGGAAAGGGATTTCCGTCTATATAAAACCTGCCAGAGCTCCTAGCACTTGGATTCTGCGGCTTTATTCGGGATTATATACATCAGCTCAAGAACCAGCTCACCAAGTTACTATGTTGAAATGCTGGAGAAGATCAAGC